AAATCATTAACCGTTTCAAAATGGCGGCCATTTAAAATATTTGATGCCAAATTTCACGAAAACCGTTAACTTTACAAAAAAATTGCAGGTGACAAAAAAGTTTGTAAATTTTATGTAGTTTTCAATGATACCTCATTTGTTAAGATAAGATAAATAATAACAGAGAAACGTGTTGTTTTTTAAATGTATGACCACTTTTCTCCATTTAAACAATGCTAAACAACGTAAAAGGAGTATTATATTAGCATTGTTTAAATGGAGAAAAGTGGTCATACATTTAAAAAACAACACGTTTCTCTGTTATTATTTATCTTATCTTAACAAATGAGGTATCATTGAAAACTACATAAAATTTACAAACTTTTTTGTCTCTTGCAATTTTTTTGTAAAGTTAACGGTTTTCGTGAAATTTAACATCAAATATTTTAAATGGCCGCCATTTTGAAACGGTTAATGATTTTTTAGTATAATTTCTAACGATAATAGGTCTTAATAAGATTAACATTTTTGCAAAATATCAAAGCTGTATCTCAAACCGTTTAGGAGTTATTAGTTTTTTTGTAAAAAACACATAAATACCGACAGTCGGTAAACTAGACTTTTTGTCTCTTGCAATTTTTTTGTAAAGTTAACGGTTTTCGTGAAATTTAACATCAAATATTTTAAATGGCCGCCATTTTGAAACGGTTAATGATTTTTTAGTATAATTTCTAACGATAATAGGTCTTAATAAGATTAACATTTTTGCAAAATATCAAAGCTGTATCTCAAACCGTTTAGGAGTTATTAGTTTTTTTTTAAAAAACACATAAATACCGACAGTCGGTAAACTAGACACCACAGACCCATATTCCTATGGTGAAATGTGTTTGTCTTGACCTAAGGAATAACGCTATATGCAAGTGTCCAGAGAGTTACGGGACACCCTGTATATAAGTATATATTAATAAGTGATTTGTCCCTTTTTTACATTTGACTGTGGTTAAATCGGCTGAAAAAGAGCTGTTAAGGAAACACATCATTGTAGCCTATCAAGTATATTGATGCTAGCATACCTTGTCATATGTTTGGCCTTGAGATAAATGGACAGTGGTGCCCCAGGCCAAAGTCAGGGGAATCTGCTTTCTTGCGCAGTGTTTCCTGTCATTTGTCCAGGTCCTCTCAATTGGAGGAACAGTAAACCAGCCCTGCTCCAGGGTTGGTCCTTTGTATTGATCGAATTGTACAAGGACAACAACTGGCAAATGGTTTAGTGATGTCTGGTCTTCTTTGTAGACAAAGTCTACAACAGTTCCTAGAGAACCATTCACCAGTCCAGCTTTTACCCTCAAATTTGCCTTCAGCACAACCCTAGCTCCATGGGCCAAGTAGAGCACAGGTTGAAGGCCACTTGCGTCCTCTACCGATCCCGTCTTTGCTGTGTTGTTGTTGTGAGTGACTGGCAGTTTAGCAATTGGGCGATGTAGGCCCAGCAATCTTTTATAATTGTACTTTTTTGCCAAAGCCTTAATTGTGAAAATATGGACTGGCTCCTTAAATCGGAGCAATTCCTCCTTCGGAATGTTATTTTTGAATCTGCTCTTGAACAGATCAAAGCTCTTTTGGGAACAAACTCCCTTACTTAATTCATCCAAAGCCCTCCTGGAAAAGAACAATATATTAAAATATGCTATAAAATGTTTTTGTTAACTTAATAAAAATTAAATTAAATTTGAGATTAGTACAATTTATTTCAACATATAAAAATAGTGTGTTATTCCTATTGTGACTTGTAACAAACTTGAAACTAATGTGACACACATTACAGTATTATTTGATTGAATTGATTTAGAGGAATCAGAAGCTACAGTACTAATTTATGATGAGTTTTTAAATGTTTTGTGTGCATAGTGCACTGTTCATATTCTTTCTATAATATCTGGTTATTACACAATTATACCATGTCATTGTTTATTCATTAACATAAACATTTTTTCCGATAAAGACATTTTGTTATAACAATAAATAAGGAATACAAATTTCAGTTAATCAAAGCCTATAGCCTTTGTGGGAGAACAATTCAGTCAGACAGAAATTTATGAAAAGGTGACTTAACCATTTAGCCGAGTAACTTCTCGATGCCAGTGTTTAGGCTAGTGTTATAGGACTACTGTTAGTACTTAATCTGGACAGAAATTGTTAACGAGGAATTACAGGGTGTACGTTCCGGCCAACTGCTGGAGAGGCGTTTTCAGAATAGGTCCAACTTACAACTTAGGCCTATCCAACATCGTACGGGGCTGCGGATCTGGACCACGTCCATCCATCCACCCTGTCATCGCAGCGGATCTCCACTGCCTGATAAGTCCTAGGTTAGCCTTTACCTTACCTCCCATCAGACTACAATTCAACAATCTGCCTACTAAATCATTTCTAAATTTGGCCAAATATAAAATTTAATAAATTTCTCTGGACATGCAACTTGCTAATCTTCAGGTGCGCATCATCAAAGACTAATATTCCATTCAAAATCCAACCAGACTTTCTTCAGAATTTATTTTGTTTAACTCCAAGTGCCAAGTGAGCTAGACGCAACTAAACCCATTGCCTCGACTTATGCTGTGGGCTAGGCCCAACTTTTGAGATATATTATATAATAGTTCAGATTGTAAAGGGTTAATGGTTTCCTTGATATTTTTCACTGGTGTAGATTGTGTAGATTGCTGTAGTTGTAAGATTGACCGCTATAAACAGTTCCGCCCACGACCCGTCGCTGATTGAGTGAGGCCTAGGGGTGTGTCAAACTGGGATCACTAGCTACCATAAAAAAATACAATGATTTCATTTTTAGGCTTGTAATACGATGCAAGTATACAAGTACAAAAACATGAAATGTTACAGTTAAAAGAATTTTAACTGGTCTTGCAAAAGAAACAGCAAGAAGTAGATTAAAAACTGAAACTGCAGGGGGTTACACAGTAAACCTAGCCAACAACATAATGACATATGGTGACAACGAACCATCACACCTCCCGTCGTCAAATGCCTTGAGATGTACGGAATGAAACAAGAGGATCGCGTTGAAAAGCAAGATATTGACGCAATTTTTAGGGTAAAATATACAATCCCCTTTAATAAAAGTATTTGCAATGATGGCATTGATGAATTCTTTGTGCATTACTGGACTCCTTATTAGTTAAATTGCTTCAGATAAATGGCACAATGGAGGGGTCGTAAAAAAACTTGATCGCTCGTTTAAGAATAAGTCTGGGTCGATATTTTTGTACCAGGCCGTATATGCTGGCAATAGAAAATCTTCTGTATGTCAAATACTATCTGAGAGACATGACAATATTGCTATTCAATGTTGGCTGGAAGATTGCAGAAGAGCTGGATCACCTGTTCCAAATATTTTGTATGCCACCGGTGAAAACTTCTTATATCGGGAATTGTGAGATCTTTTGCCGACTGCAGCAGCTTAATTGAATATATTAACAGGTGCTATGACACTTTTTTGAAGATAATTAAGACTCTCTCCCCCCTAACTTCGTACTATGTGGCATTGGCAACACAATCAAGAATATTAATTCATGGAAGATAGTCAAAAGCATGAATTATGGGGTGAAACAATTTTATGTACGAACGATCGTCCAGTTGTTGAGGTGTGACAATGCTTTTCTGATAAAAAACCTATTAGGTAGAGGCTTTATAACTTACAGAACAACTACTTTCTAACTTTAGAAAAAAACTACAAAGTGCAGGATGTTCGCTATCAGTTGATCGACGTCCGGGATACTTTGATAGAACTTAATGAGAAAACGGACGACCCTAAGACAACGAGGAGACTAATTCATTAGTCAGCCAGATTGAAGACATTTCTTTCTTAGTATGCCAACTAGTATGGCATGATTTGCTGTTTGAAATCAATATCATCAAGTAAAGTCTTCAAGGGAAAGCCAAAGGTGTCAGTGATGCTCTGAATAAGTTCAATGACTGCTTGGACTTCTTAGACTAATTTAGAGAAAATGGATAAACTAACGCAGTAATTTCCGTAAAGGAAATTGTAGAATATCTAGAAATACAATCAATTTTCCTTGAAAACAGAATTCGCTTAAAGAAACGTGTCTTTGTGTGAAAGTACAAGCGAGGAAGTGCAAACATCTGCAGAAGATACATTGAAGAGGAAGGAGTTTTATTCATTGGTGGATACAGTTGCAACATCAGTAAAAGGCAGGTCCACTGCAATTTATAATCATAACTTGCAGTGGGTTTTTTACAACTTGGCTAACTTTCCACTAAAAGATTATTTGAAACAAAGCTGTTTGAAACTAGAAACTCTCTTTAAAGAAATACTGAGTATGAACTATTTTGTGAACTGCAACATGAACTCAATGAACCCCAAGTTTGGCAAGTTCAACCAATCGTTGTGTTACGGAACATCAAGAAAGCAAAGTATAAATCTCTGGATTGTATTAAGAGTTTTGTTAACTACACCAGTATTGCATTAATTTCAATTTGCACTATATTAACTGTATGGATTTTATTTTCATCACAACACAACACAATTAAATATTTTAAAGGGAAGAAATACAAGTTTTGACGCATTATAAAATTGTTATTATTTTTTTTTCAACCCAAATAATTTACAATCATTGATTCAAGCTGTTTGGGCAATATGGAACCATAAGGCAAGCTCTGACACAGAAACGTTGCACCACTTTTGCCCTGAAGGACCGGAGTCGTGGTGTAAGTACCAGCAGGTGGTATCAAACAAAACAGCTTTTCACCATACAAAAATAATTGCGAAACCTATAAAAGACTTTATCAAACCAGGTTTTATGGACCTGAGCAAACCAGAACTTCTGCAAAGGTGATTGAAGGGCAAAACTCAAAACACGAATGAGTCATTCAACAATGTGCTTTGGAGTATTTGTCCCAAAAGAGGTTTTGCCGGAAAAACTGTAGTAGAAATAGAAGCTTATGTGGCAGCTTTGATTTACAATAAAGGCTGTATAGGCAGAATGGAGTTCCTCGGCTGTATGGACATTGCGCCAGGAAGACATTGTGAAGAGTCGCTTCGAAAATGCGATAAGAGACGAGTGTTCAACGCTGATAAGAGGTGCTTTAAAAGGTTGAGCCAATTAACCAATTTCAATTAGGTTATATAAACATATTTTTAGTTCAGGCCATAGTCCTAGGCATAAGGAAAAGAATCATACCAAATTCATTTGTGTAAATCATAAAAAAACACAATGTGTAAAATGGTTACCTAGGTTTTTACAAAAATATAAAATAAATTTTTTTTATCATAACTCCCAAACTCATATTTTTTTTTCGTAGATTATATGCCCAGATTTGTGCTTGAAATGCCCTGAAAAGTTCAAAATCTTACGTCATAAGGTATATGGGTGATTCTCCGTGAAAGGGCAGATTTCAGTCCCAAGCAAATTTTTATTAATTTGGCTCATCCAATTTTTTTTTAATTTTACGAGGAAATGCTATGTCGGGGGCTCCGATTATAAGCGGGAGAAGTCAATTACCAAATTTTTAATATAGTCCGGTTGGGAAGCAAGAAAACATTTCAGTTCTGGCGGGGAGGCTGCAATTTTAGGTGGTTATAGTATACAAGTTTCTGAACCTAAAACCGCCCAGACCCCAATTTTTAAGGACCTCGGTCGTCCGTAGTGACGTCATCATGATGGCGGCCGTAAGAGGATGCTGGGTCGACATGAATTGACTATAATGACTGAATGCCAGAACCGATTTTTATGAAATATGGCACACGAGTGCTTGAATACATTATCTCAGCCTAGGTTGTCAATGGTCGAGTTTGATCAAGTCGTTTAAAAATGTCGGCCGTTATAAGCTATAGTTTAAAAAAATCTTTGAGTGTTTTGTGTTCTCAGCTTCTTCCAGAGATCTGCCGCAACCTATCTACTCTCCTGCAATCAAAGTCTGCACTGTTGTCTCTGTAATTCATGGAATAGGCAAAATACCCCCACCACAGCAAACCTGCAGATTAAGTCCAATTATAATGTCCACAGATTCGACTGTTGTCCCGCTACCAGTAGCAAATCCTGTGGAGGTGGTGTTCTTGTTGCGCTTGGCTCACTGATCCCTAGAAAAGTTTTACCTACTCTGTCACCCAACTCTGAAAATATTGTTCTCTCTCTTCAATATGGTGCACATAAACCTTTAATACTTGGTGCCTGTTATATACCTCCTCAGCAGCCGTTTCATGTATATGCTGACTTGTGCAGCGGCGTTGATGAGCTTCTCTCCCAAGACTCGGGGTCCTCTTCCATACTGCTTCTGGGTGACTTTAATCTGCCGAGTACGAATTGGTCCTGTGACCAGCCTACTCCCAAGTGCAAGTCATCTGGTCTGGTCATTGATATGATGAACTTGTATCAACTTCAACAAATTAACACTGTTACCAATGTCCGAGGTGTTACACTTGATTTAATAATTTCTTCTTCATATTATTCCGTGAGGAATGCCCTGGATCTCCTTCTGCCTGCTGAGGATCATCATCCCGCTCTTGCCCTGGAGGTTTGTGTGCCCCATAACACCACTCATGAAAAACCACTCTTTGTTAGAGACTTTAGTAGAATCGACTGCTCGAGGGTTTTTACGCATCTCAGTCAATTACTTGGTACGGTGTACTATATACCCGAGGACGTCAATGAACACTTCGACCAGTTCCTGCATTTGGTGCGTCACGTTGTTCTGGAGAATACTCCCCTCTGGAAAATCAATTCAACTCACTTTCCACCCTGGTTTACCCCTGAGTTGAGGCGACTGGTCATCAGGAAGAAAATACTCCATTCCCAATACAAGTCCACTCTTCGCACCTCGGATTATGTCAAGTTCTCTATGGCTCGTTCCCAGTGTAAGATCCTTACAAAACAATGTTATGATAACTATATCAATCATGTGAACTCAGCCATCACCTCAAACCCAAAATCTTTCTGGGGTTTTATTAAGAGCATGACGTCATCCTCCGCCAATGAACCATCACTTACATACAATGGTTATTCATCACAGTCACCTTCCGAAATATGTAACTTGTTTGCTGAATTCTTCTCATCAGTCTACAAGCTTCCTTCCTCTTCCGGGATCTTTCCTGATGCACTCAAAGAAGGCTACGTCGTGCCAATTCATAAATCTTCATCCAAGGGAGAAGTCACAAATTATCGGCCAATTGTTATTCAACCTGCTCTGGGCAAAGTATTTGAGTGCCTTCTCATCGACAAACTTATGTTCCACTTACAAGCTCTGATTATCCCTGAACAGCATGGATTTATAGCGGGAAGATCGTCTCTCACCAATCTAGCTCTTCTCCAACATTTAGTCACCTCTGCCTTAGCTTCAGGTAGCCAGGTTGATTGTATATACTTAGACTTCTCAAAGGCATTTGATACTGTCAGTCATGAACATCTTATTGCAAAGTTGGAGAGGTATGGGATCTGCGGCAGTCTAATCAGTTGGTTCAGCTCCTATTTGAGTGGCAAATCCCTCAAAGTTAAATTCAAGGATGCATTGTCCGATCCTTTTGTTACTCTCTCTGGAGTGCCACAGGGCTCTCATCTTGGACCGCTTCTATTCTCCCTGTTCGTCAATGATGTTGTGGATGTACTTGACTCCAACTGTCTCCTGTTTGCAGACGACTTGAAGATTTTTAGAACTGTTCGCTCTAGTGAGGACTGCCTTCGACTTCAGCAATGTCTTCGGCGTGTTGAAGATTGGTGCACCGATAACTGCATGAGGCTCAACGTTAAAAAGTGTGTGGTGGTTACATATAGTAGAGCTAGAAGGCCTGTGGATTATAATTACTGCCTAAGCAACCTGCCCCTCGCTAGAAGTGACAACATTCGAGATCTGGGTGTTGTACTGTCTGCGGATCTGAGTTTCTCACGCCATATTGAGGAAATTTATTCTAAGGCCACCAGGATATTGGGACTCATCATGAGATCCTCTAGATGTGGTCTGAGTATAGAAGCGCTTCGCACACTGTACATTTCTTTGGTGAGGTCAAGACTTGAATATTGTAGCTCTATATGGTCACCCTACCAACAGTGCTACATTGATCGTCTGGAGAGCGTCCAGTGCCGATTTCTACGTCTTATTTGGTGTAGGATGGGTTACATGTACCGGGATGTACCTACCCAGGACATCAGAAGGTTTCTTGGACTTGATACCCTGGCCAAGAGGAGGGAAATCAGTGATGCCATGTTCCTGTTCAAAATACTAAATGGACGAATCAACTGTCCTGATCTGCTTGCGCTGATTGACCTGCATGTTTCCCCACCTAGATCAACTCGTTCCAATGTGCTGTTTGCTCGCCAACACTGCTCCACGAACTATGAACTTTATAGCCCTCTGCCTAGACTGCATCGACTCGGCAATCGGCTCTGTCATTATGTGGACTTCTTTGACTGCTGTCCACGGGTTGTCAAGAGGATTGCGTCTTCGGTTCTTGAGGAACAGTAATCTCGTTCTGCTGTGATTTAATTGTACAGGTCTTGTGTAATAATTTAATTCTTTGTCAATGCTTCCTTATCAATGCACCCTAGTCATTATTGCCGTCTGTCACTAGTTTATTGATATTGCTTGTACTATTGATGTAGTTATTATCTCTCTTGTTATCTAGTTGCATGTTTTCTTGTAGTATTTTATCGACTGTTATTGTTTCCAAATTTCTATCTATTGTTATGCTTGCTATTCAACTAGTTTTTTTTTTCTTCTATTAGCATGTGATGTTAGAATTGAATTAATGTATGTATTATCTTTCTTGTTATCTAGTCGCATGTTTTCTTGTAGTATTTATAGATTGTTATTGTTACCTAATTCTATCCATTGTTATGCTTGCTATTCAACCAGTTTTTTTTTCCATTAGCATGTGATGTTAGTCCCTATCTGCCTTTCAATAAATCCTGCAAAATAACAAAAAAAAAAAGTAAAAGAGCATGAGAAAAGGCAGAAGGGAAGAAAATTTAATTAGGCTAAGCAATTGTATTTCACATTTCACCTTCATTAATTTATCACTTTTCGTTCATCAATCTAATCTTTCAATATTGTATCTATATCAGCATGTCAACCCTGTAAAAATGGTGTTATACCGTGAACAAATAAATAAATAAATAAATAAGTGAGTTTCCTTTTCCCTGATTTGATTTTCAATTAAATCAATTTCAAAACATTAGATTTCATGAGTACCTATTTGCTGCTAATTTGCTACTGAGATTAATAAAGCATGTCAATTAATATATTAATAGCTTAGTTTAAAGTAAATAAATTTGCCAAGTTTCATTAAGATATAATCATAAACAAGCAAACTACAACAGTTTATGTACTCTCCGTAATAATAACATGGGAATTTTAAATTTACAATGTTTTGAATGAATGAATTTTGAGTGAATAATAGTTGGAACTCAAACCTTCTCTGGTGTAGAATAGTCAGCTAACCTAAGAATCCTCCATTTTCAAAGACAAATCCCTCAACTCCGTTACCCTCAACTCTGTTACTCACCCGGTTAACAGATGTGAGAAAGTATAACGGAGTAAAAACTGCTTCACTCTAGAGTCTTTCTTTCAAACTCTTAAACCTAAAGTATCTGCTAGAAACAGGGGTTGGTGCTTCTTGTATGACACAAAATATTTCCTTTGTTTGTATTTCTTGTTTATCTTCTTATGTTGGCCAAAAGAAGTTATCTCGCGCTTTATCCATGAAGGAAACAGTTACTCGATTTCCATTGATTGCTTCCACTATTCCTGTAAAGAACATTATATTACCAGATGTTAGGCTATAATTAAGTTATTTCAAATGAAACTATTTTAATCAAATATTTAGGATCTTATTCTTATTATTTTCGTTATACCCAGCGCATCGAAAAAAGGCACCCTAACTAAATTAGTTCTTTAGTCAGATACTACTACAACCAATCATCTAATCTGCAAAACTTAAAATAATCATTTTAAATGTTCAAGATTTACAGTTTTGAAAATAAATAAATAAATAGGTAAATATACCTGGATACCATGAATCATCATAAATTACTGCAACCCAATCACCAATGTTTACATCTATTACCAAATCTTGCTTTGAGTTGATATTATCATCCTCATCTTCACTTTAAAGAGCTAGTTAAGAAAAACAAAATTGTAAAGAAGATCTGTAACACAATAAAAAATAGGTAATCTATAATATTAAAACGAAACAGTGTTTTTTTATATCACGGACGGTGTTATGCAAAAAGGAACCAACCCTCATTTTTTTAGGATTTGACTTATTGTCACCACAGTGTACAGCCCAAGCAAAACTTTATATTGCAAAAAAGAACCAAGAATATTAGTTTCACAAAAAATTCTAAAAAAATGTTTAAAAACAGCTGTTTTGGTTTTCAGCTGTTGTAATTTTTACAAAATGATCTCATGTGATTTGGATCTTTTTGCCCTTTTGTTTAACAAATATTATTTGGACCCAACTTACTTGGTTCTTTTTTGAATTCAAACTAATCACATTTTATTACAGAACCTTGTGACATGGTTCTGTTTTGCAATATTCATTACCCAATATCGAAATGAGTTCCCATGTACCATGGTTCTTTTTCGGAAATTAGAATGAAGTTACGCTACTGTAAACCAAGCTGTTTGGTTCTTGTTTGCAATTATTAATTCTGACTTATTTCGCAGAACTAGTGACATGGTTTCATTTAGCAGTTTTCATAAGTCGGTGTAAATAATATATGCCATGTTAGTTGGTTCTTTTTTGTAAATACAATTAAAACAGCTGATAGTAAACACAACATGTGTTGGTTCTGTAATGTTCACAGTTTGGTTGTCTTACAGATGGTTAAGTTTGTTTTCATGTTGTTGATGATTATGAGTTTTATGTTATTGCGGTAGCAAATAAACATAAATTTCGACAATGAAATCAAGAGGATTGTTAATTCTTGAAGCTTTGAAAAAGAAAGAAAAGTGCAAAAGCAAGGAAAATGGTGAGTAAATTAATTATTCATTCTTTCAATACAACCTTACTGTTTATAACTGACCTAACCTAAACTAAACCTAGCCTAGGCTAGTACTAGTAGATTTAAGGCCTACCTTAACATTTTTCTCTATGACATATTTACAACGTTGTAGAAAACTACAGTGTAGTCTTGAATAATTAGATATCCAAGGTTTTTACTTTAGCAAAATAGCGTTATAGGTCCACAAATCGTTGGAAACAGAGGTAGGCCTATATTTTTATAACAAATTCCTTGCTAATAAAATTAGGTGATAAAATGTTATCATCTGTTACAGTGAGCAGTAACAAGCAATCAGTGCCAGAGCCTGATAACGTAAATACTGCCAGCCTGCAACATTCCCCAACAGGTAGGCTTGAATAGATTTGTTGATCAAATACTCTGAATGTAATAAATTGTCAGAAAAATTACACGTTTTACAGCAAATCATCCTGTGTAGGCTGTTAGGTGTTTTTGATGGATTTGAGATACAAGTTGACCACAAAGAATGATTTAGGCTACTCTGTTTGTTCTCTAAAAAGTGTAAATGCCATTACATTGAAGTACCTAGACCAAGCGCGTAACGTCGCTCAAAGCTATTCTTTTTTCATTTTAGCTGAAAATTCATATAGGCCTACCTATACTTTTTTCTCTATGACATCTATACAACGTTGTAGGAAACTACAGTGTAGTCTTGAATAATGAGATATCCAAGGTTTTTTCTTTAGCAAAATAGCTTTGTAGGTCCACAAATCGTTGGAAACAGAGGTAGGCCTATATTTTTATAACAAATCCCTTGCTAATAAAATTTAGTGATAAAATGTAATCATCTGTTACAGTGAGCAGTGACAAGCAATCAGTGCCAGAGCCTGATAACGTAAATACTGCCAGCCTACAACATTCACCAACAGGTAGGCTTAAATAGATTTGTTTATCAAATACTCTGAATGTAATAAATTGTCAGAAAAATTACACGTTTTACAGCAAATCATCCTGTGTAGGCTGTTAGGTGTTTTTGATGGATTTGAGATACAAGTTGACCACAAAGAATGATTTAGGCTACTTTGTTTGTTCTCTAAAAAGTGTAAATGCCATTACATTGAAGTACCTAGACCAAGCGCGTAACTTCGCTCAAAGCTATTCTTTTTTCATTTTAGCTGAAAATTCATATAGGCCTACCTATACTTTTTTCTCTATGACATCTATACAACGTTGTAGGAAACTACAGTGTAGTCTTGAATAATGAGATATCCAAGGTTTTTTCTTTAGCAAAATAGCTTTGTAGGTCCACAAATCGTTGGAAACAGAGGTAGGCCTATATTTTTATAACAAATCCCTTGCTAATAAAATTTAGTGATAAAATGTAATCATCTGTTACAGTGAGCAGTGACAAGCAATCAGTGCCAGAGCCTGATAACGTAAATACTGCCAGCCTGCAACATTCACCAACAGGTAGGCTTAAATAGATTTGTTTATCAAATACTCTGAATGTAATAAATTGTTAGAAAATTTACACGTTTTACAGCAAATCATCCTGTGTAGGCTGTTAGGTGTTTTTGATGGATTTGAGATACAGGTTGACCAAAAACAAATGAATTTATTAGGCTTACTTGGTTTGTTAGTCTCTGAAAAATGTAAATGCTTTTACATTGAAGTACCATGACCGAGCACCTAACGTCGCTCAACGCTAGACTTTTCTCATTTTAAATTTCCATAGCAAAAAAAAAAACACTTTCATTTCCATGGTACGAACACAGAAAAATACAAAACACTTATGAACAATTTATTCTAAAAAAATATAAGAAGGAGCAGTTTTTAAACCCTGTTCTCTTCATCAGCCACACAAACGCACATTCCAATTTTAACAATACACAGTAGATTGATATTTAAAATCTGTGACATTCATTTGTGTGTTTTTTTTCCAGTTAAAAACACGTTAGTTCATGGACTGGAGGGTTTTACAACAGGTGGAGAAGACATTAATGAGTCCCTATTGAATATTATTGAAATGGATATTGAATTTTCCAATGATGATCCTCTATCTGTTGCAGCTGGTAAGATAAAATACTGTCCTAGTTGATACCATGGCTAATCCAACATTATAAAAATAATTCGTGTCAAAATTAGTACAAATGAAGCTATAAATTTTTGATCAAACTTGCTTCAATTTTGTATTTTAACATGTGTAAAAGAAGTGTTTTGGAAAGTGTCAAAATGTTTAGTGCAAACAAATGTAATAACTACTAATATTGCCGCATGTGTAAAAGTCTATACCAGTCTTTACCTCTGTTCATTTACTTAGGATATAACGATTCAGAAGAAAGTTTGAAACTTGATAGCTGACCAAAAAGTTGTAGACTCAGACCGAGTTGCATAACTTGACCGGCTACCTTTTATTTTCCATCGTTTATTAAACATATGAGGGGCTCATGATAGTACCACCATAGATAAATATATTTGGTTCCAAAGTACTGGGACATGTTT